CTTGTTAAGGGGTGTGGTTATCCCTCTCTCGAAGGGAAGGGGGACCGATGGGACTGCAGCAATCACCGAGGGCATCACACTGCTCGGTATACCAGGCAAGGTTCTTGCCACATCCTGAGAGATGTATCAGAGGCTGAAGCAATCTGGATTCACTCCTGATATGTCCACAATAGACCGTGTCCTTGCTCTTCAACCAAATTTTTCAGCCTATTTATCCCTCAGGCGTGGGCTGCTTGCAGCCTACATCAACCTCAAGGAGGCATTTGATACGGTGTATCAGGAATCACTCTGGGAGATCCTGAGACTGAGAGGAATTCCAACAAGGATTATTGGACTAATAGCAAGCCTGTATACTGGTACTGAAAGTGCTGTAAAGTGTAGTAGGGGCCTGTCGAGCTTCTTTCCTGTTAGTTCAGGAATAAGGCAAGGCTGCTTCCTTGCACCAACACTTTTCAATACTTGCATGGACTGGATACTGGGCATAGCTACTGTTCAAAGTCATTGTGGAGCATCACTGGGCAATATCAAGGTTACAGACCTTGACTTTGCTGATGATATTACTATTCTATCTGAGTCCTTGGAAACCTTAGTGGTGGCTCTTGATGCATTTAGTAATGAAGCGAAGCCCTTGGGTCATGAGGTGTCCTAGACCAAGACCAAGATCCAGGACTCTGGGGACTTGCTAGGAGAACCTGTTCAGTTGGTACATGCTTGCGGCAAGGACTTTGAAGACACAGAGAGCTTTACATACCTTGGTAGTGTAGTTCATAACTCTGGGCTGTCAAACCAAGAAGTCTGCAGACAGATTGGCCTGGCAGCAGGGATCATGAACTCTCTTGACAAGAGTATTTGGAGATGCCGGTACCTGTGCAGAAGGACAAGCTATGGGTTTCAAGGCCTTGATAATGCCAGTTTATCTATACTGTAGTGAAACCTGGGCATTATCCTGTGCCTTGGAGTCTCATGTTGATGCCTTCTGTAATAGGTCCTTGCGCCGGATCATGGGTTACTTTGGTGGGAGTACGTGTCCAACCAATGGTTGCACCACGAGACTGGCACAGAACCTGTTACCTGTACAATCTGTGATCACCAACTCAGGCTATATGGCCACCTGTCTCATTTCCCACAGGATGATCCTGCCCACCTGGTTGTCTCCTCAAGAGACAACCCTGGGTGGAGGGGGCCTGTGGGATGACCTAGGAAGTCGTGGCTTAGGCAGATCGATCAAACCTGTTGTGAGGAGCTCGAGATGCGCTGAGTCCTTGCCTGGCAGCTTGCAATGAGGGACCCCAAAAGGTGGAAACAAAGGGAGGATGCAGCTACATTAAAATTATTATTACCTGATGTATTGGTGAAATAATGATAGATGGGATATTCAATATTAGGCCATTTTGAAGGATTGTCGATCCAAATTTCAGCAGGCAGGCGGTATGGGTACTCTCTGTTAGCCACACAGCTTCTAGTTTTGTTTCATATTGTTTTTTTGATTCAGTTTTTGAAGAATCAAAGAATTAATTTGCCATTTTTGCTCATGCTGATAGCAAGCGACAGGTTTGTTTTCATCAAGTGGAATAGTGACTCCAACTCCTGACATCACACCGAATTGGTCTATTGTTACTGAATGATGCACCCTCCAGAGACTATGTCCCAAAACCAGGGTATCATACAAGCTAAAAAACCCAAACCAAACCTTTCGGTTATTTTACTGTTTATGACAATCAGGACTTCCCAGACAATATTATATCATCAGATTTGTTCTCATGTGACAAGAACGAATCTGATGGTTATTTCCGTACCAATCACAGCCGACAATCTTGATGTGTCAAGTCCGATAGCAGGGGAGGGCATGAGGTATATCAGAGTAAAACAGGCTTAAATAAGGAGAATAGCGAACAAAAAATGCTTAAAACCAGCACAAAAAATGCTAAATATTGGCATCTTTGAAAGTCTACGCACCAACGCGCCAAAACCCATCTTTCAGGAAAATCTTCAGGATTTCACACGTTCTAAAACCCCCAAAAATGTCCTAACTCATAACCCAGCCTCCCCCCAACACCCCCTGCTGCACAACCTACTTCAATGTCAACCCCCTCTTCCCTTATTACTACTCTTCATCCTTATTGTCGTCCCCCCAAACTAATCCACTCTACACCACCCTATCTTCCTCTCACCCTCGTCCTTCTACTACCTCTACCTCTGCAAACCTGAGTACTCTATTTGGCCCAACCAAGTGGGATCGATTCTTTGTGATTCCCCCCACAGCCCCCCACCTTCTGAGAATACCATTCTCTTTCAGCATGGCCTCAGAAACAAGTAGGCAAGGTTACCTTTCGCAGTCACTCTGATCACAGTTACATCTGAAGCCCAAGATCGTGCACTATCTACCTTACTGGCAAACCCATTCTTGCCGAATCTCACCCAACTCTTAATACTTGTACTGGAACTGTTTCTATTCCCCCAAATGCTTGTCTCATGTATAACAAGGACTGGTCAGACTGTG